GATCAAGACCCTAAACACTAAACCTTCTAGAAACTTATGGACCCTAAACCCCCCCGATCAAGACCCTTCTAGAACCCTCTAGGGTCCGATTTGCTGGTACTCTCAATCCCGACGGAACCCTGACAAAGACCTCGACCACCCTCGATACCGGGTTTAGGATTTTGGGGTTGAAACCATGGAAGTCTCAACCCACAATCCCACGAGACCCAAAACCCCAAAACCCTGAACCTAACAGAAGGGCCTCAATAACTACCTGTTTCATTTTGGGGGTTCCATATTATCATTACACTATAAGGGTTTTTGGGTTCAGGGTTAGGGTTTAGGGTTAAAACCCTAAACCCTCCAAGCCCTAAACCTAAAAGCCCGTCACCTAAAAACCCTTAACCCTATAAACCCTAAACCAATAACAAACCTAAACCACAAACCTAAGCCAAGCAACCTCAAGCTGAAAATCCGAAACCCCTACAAACCCTAAACGCGGCCGACTGGCTCCAGTGGATCAGGTACCACGAGATACGGCCTGGACCGGGGGGGCTTCGGGGTCACTACTACAACTGCTGCTGCTGCTGCTACTACTGCTACTACTACTACTACTACTACTAGTACTGCTGCCACTACTACCACTACCACCTACAACTACCTACTACTACCTACCTGCCTGCCTGCCTACCTACCTACCTACCGACCGACCGACCTACCGTATTGTATTTAAAGAAATTAATAATATTATATGCCCCAAACCCAGGACGCCACATCAAAAGTTAACGTTCTCCGTACAAAACAAGTCACAGCGCAGTGTCCTCGTACCTTACTATACCCCTAAGGGTCCAAAGGACCCAACAATAAGGTACTTTGGTTGCGGATAGTCGTTATCTAGGTCCAATATTTGGGAGAGTATATGATTATTAGGTACTTGGACCCTTACTATACATCCGTGCAGAGTGCAGTTCTCGAGGCATCAAGGCACCAAGCCTTCGACCCACTGCTGCAATGTCACAAACCCTGAGGTGTTGGGGTTGAGGGTGTATGTTTAGGTGTCACGTTGAGGAAATCTAGTGTGTATACATATATATATATATATGTATATGTGTATGTGTATATATATATATATATATAATATGTATATATATATATATATACATATGCGTACACATAAACCTATCTATCTACCCTAAACCCTAAGCCGTAAACCCTACACCCTAAAGTTTTGGTCCCCCACGGCTTGAGCGCAGAAGTCGGCATTGATGCTTGCACTTTGACTCCAAACCAACGCATCCGTAGGGACCCTACCCTGAGGGTCCATGTACCCAAATAGTATATACATTGGCCTTAAAGTATTCCCTGTATAGGTACTTTAAGGCCGAAGTATATGCTATGTGGGCACATGGACCCTTAGGGTAAGGCCGTCATCATGAACACTAACCCCAAACCCTGCACCCTAAACCCTAAACCCTAAGCTCGAAACCCGAAACCCAATGGACCCCAAACCCTAAACCCTGAACCCGAATGTAGGGGCATTAATAAGTAGAACAAGGTTTTGGGGTATATTATAGTATAATTTAAATAAGGGACTCCCAAAACAGTATGTATTTTAATAAGTAGTAGAGGGATTTGGAGTATATTATACTATATGTAGTGATAATTAGGGACTCCCAAGTAGTATAGGTTATTATGTAGGCCCCTAATATTATTGAACCCCAAGACCCCTAAAGGCCCTACCAATATTAAGCCCCTAAGATGCCCCTAAGGCGCCAATCATCCTAAACCCTAAGATCCCTTAAGGCCCTAACAATATTCAAATTAAACCCTAAGATCCCCTAAGGGGGGCCCCCTAAACCCCGAAACCCCTAAACCCCTAACCCCTAAACCCCTAAACCCTAAACCCTCAACCCTAGACCCTAAACCCCTAAAACCCTAAACCCTAAGATCCTTTTAAAGTGGGCCTCTGCTCCTCGTATTGCAACGCTTGCATCTCCCGGTCCTCTCGCAAAGCTCTGCTCGCGCTTTTGTTTGGGAGGCTTCGGGAGGCGACCTATAGTCTCCATTGTAGTTCTTTTTTTGGGGATCAGTTTAGGGTTTAGGGTTTAGGGGCACTTATATAAAATCCGTAATATATATATATATATATGGTTAAACCAAAAAACAAGAACTACAATGGATACTATAGGTACAGCGGCCTTTCTTTGAAGGTTTATTGGGTTTAGGGCCAAAATAGTTTAGAGTTTAGGGTGAGTAGTATGCTCATAATTAAAGGGGATAAATATGACCGTTTTCTGCGGGTATATTATTATGTTAAAGGCAGTATTTGAATTGCTTTTGCTAGCAGCCGTTAAAAACACTCTGCTCGCGTGCTGCTTTTCTCCGGACAGAGCTTATGTGGTGCGCTAATGAGTACGACGGCTAGTGAGCACGATGCCTAACAAAGCATGTTCATGAGGGCAGATCTACGCCACTTATTCTTCCGGTGGTGCTGCTGACAGTACCGGCAACTACGTCGGAGATTCAACAAGTCTACGCCACCTTGACAGCCTGTCGCACAGTTGCACATGCATTGACATAGTTGCACTCAAGCTCAAACACGACCGAGCCAGATTGCCAACGCCTCGGCAACAACACATCAGTCCATGAACCCGAAACTCTTAATTACAACCTTCGCCACGAAATAAATCCCTAAACCCTAAATCCCTAAACCCCAAATCCTGAACCCTGAACCCTAATCCCTAATTCCCTACACCCCCAAAATCCCCAAATCCCTAAACCCTAGTCCTAGGCCCTTAAACCCTAAAACCCATCAACCGGTGGACCTCAACCCTACAGACCCTGGACCCTAAGCCCCTCTAAACCCCAACGTGTCGAGCCCAAGCCCTAAACTGGGTTCTAACGGTTTAGGGTTTAGGGTTTAGGGTTTAGGATTTTTATTTGAGTTTGCATAATGAAGAAACCCTATCATCTACTGAAGATGCTTGTTATGGTAACTGAATTTTAAACTCCCTTAACACAGAACCCAGTAAAGAACCTGCTCGAGGGTTCTTGTTTCGGAACTTAAACCCGAGTTGCCATCAGACGAAAACCTCTGGATTTACTGCCTATCCCGCTTATGAACACTGAGAGTGAGATCCCCTAAGGGTCCACGTGCCCCAATAGTATATACTTTGCCCTAAACCCCTAAAACCCTAAACCCTAAATGGCCCCATTATAGTACCCATCTAGGGGCTACTTTAAGGCCAAATTATGAACTGTCTGGGCACATGCAGTTTAGGGTTCAGGACCCTAAAGTCTAAACCCTACACCCCACCCTACACCCCAAACTTGGGCCTGTTGTTCATTGTTGCTTTACATACACGTGTGAACAAAAACAATTCTTATAATCCTAAACTTGCGCCTGTTGTTCATTGTTGATTTGCGCGTACTGTGTAAAAGAACAGTTAACAACAAACTCTAAACCCAACAGCCCCAACTTGAGCCCCCAACCCCAAACCCTAATAAGACCCACCCCTAAACCCCTAAACCCTAAACCCTGAACCCCTAAACCCTAAATACCCTAATCCCCTAAACCCTAAATGCCCTAGACCCCTAAACCCTAGTGAGACACAAACCCCTAAACCCTAAATACCCTAAACCCTAAATACCCTAAACCCCTAAACCCTAAATAGACCCAAACCCCAAGGCCCCTCCTCGCCATAGCGGACGCCGACCCACCACGAGTAAGGATTGGTGAGCTTCACGTGGTCGTAATCCTGGTTCAGGGTTTAGGATTCAGGGTTTAGGGTTTAGGGCTTAGGTCTTGGGGTTTAGGATTCAGGGTTTAGGGTTTAGGGTTTAGGTCTTGGCGTTTAGGGTTTAGGGTTTGGGGCTTGGGGTTTAGGGTTTAGGGTCTGGAATTTAGGAGCTTTCATAGTAAGGTCTTCTGGTTGGCTGCCTGTTTCCCTTGTGAAACCCTATACCCTAAACAAAAACACTCGGAAGTGTAAGCACCACAGGAAGGGCTTCATGTAACCCTAAACCCTAAACCCTAAACCCTAAACCCTAAACCCCAAACCTTAAACTCTTGAGCCCGGAGGCTCCGAAGGTTTAGGGTTTAGGGTTTGGGGTTTGGGGTTTCGGTTCTAGGGTTTACGGTTTAGGGTTTAGGGTGATTAAGGTTTAGGTTTACGGTTTAGGGTTTAGGGTTTGGGGTTTGGGGTTTAGGGTGATTTGGGTGATTAAGGTTTAGGTTTAGGGTTTAGGGTTTGGGGTTTGGGGTTGGGGGTTTTGGGGTTTGGGGTTTAGGACATGAACCACGACAGTCCTAAAACCTAAATCGTAAACCTTATACCCCAATTCGTACATTCTAACACTAATCCCTGAAGCCCTAAACGCCAAAACCCTAAACCCGAATACCTCAACCCCAGTCCTACGTCCCTACCCATAGGCTCCGTGATAGTTCCTTCTTGGGATTACCTGGTAGGATCCTGAATATAAACCACAAAAAGGAACTACAATGGAGCCTGTGGGTAATCCCTAAACCCCTAAGCCCCAATCCCTAAACCCCAAACCCCTAAACCCTAAGCCCTAAACCCCTAAACCCCTAAACCCTAAACCCTAACCCCGAAACCCCTAAACCCTAAACCCTAAACCCTGACCCTGAACCCTAAACCCCAAAGCCCTAAGTCCTAAACCCTAAACCCTAAGCCCTAAACCCTGATCCCTAAACCTCAGCCCCTAAACCCCAATCCCTGAAAAATCCCGAACCCTGAACCCCAAACCCAAAGTCCCAAACCCTAAACTCCTAAACCCCAAGCCCAAAGCCCTAAACCCTGAACCCTGAACCCTGAACCCTGAACCCCGAAGCCCCTAAAACCCTAAACCCTGAACCCTAAACCCCAAGCCCTAAGTCCTAAACCCTAAACCCTAAACCCTAAACCCCAAACCCAAAGTCCTAAACCTTATAAACCCAAAAAGCCCGAAGCCCAAAGTCCTAAACCTTATAAAACCCCAAAAGCCCGAATTGAGCTCGCAGCCATCCAGAAGGCCACCTGCAGCTGCAACCTGACACCGACTCAGGGTTCAGGGTTCCTTTAAAGGGGACCCTAGGGTTCCCTTAAAGGGATCTCTATAGGGGTTCAGGGTTTAGGGTTTGGGGTTTAGGGTTTGGGGTGATTAGGTTTAGGGTGTTTAGTGTTTGGGGTTTAGGGTTTAGGGTTTAGGGGGTTTAGGGTTTGGGGTTTAGGGTGATTGGAGCTTACATAGGTTGATATATGAACCAATTAGGGCTTCGTTTAGGGTTCCTTAAAGGGATCTAGAAGGGTTTGGGGTTTGGGGTTCAGGGTTTAGGGTTTGGGGTGATTAGGTTTAGGGTGATTAGGGTTTGGGGCTTGGGATTTAGGGTTTAGGATTTGGGGTGATTAGGTTTAGGGTGATTAGGGTTTAGGTTTGGGGTTTAGGGTTTAAGGTTTGGGGTTTGGGGTTTAGGGTGATTAGGGTTTTGGGTTTAGGGTTTAGGGTTTGGGGTTTGGGGTTTGGGGTTTGGGGTTTACGGTGATTAGGGTTTGGGGTTTGGGGTTTGGGGTTTGGGGATTAGGGTTTAGGTTTAGGGTTTAGGGTTTGGGGTTTCGGGTTTGGGGTTTAGGGTTTGGGGTTTGGGGTTTGGGGTTTAGGGTTTAGGGTTTAGGGTTTGGGGTTTAGGGTTTCAGAAAGGAACGCTGT